AGGCAGGATCATCCTTGATCAAATCATCTTAACCAAGTGTCTGTCTAATCTGCTTTTGAAAACTTCCAAGAATGGAGATTCCACAATTTTTCTAGATGGCCTATTCCAATGCTTGCCCACCCTCATAGTCAGAAAGTTTCTCCTAATCTCCACCCTAACTTTCCTCCCTTGAACTTTTTGAAGCCATTGCTCTTATTCCTATCATTTGGTTGGTCCCAGGACCTTCATAAATAAATGACTCCAGCCACAAGTGGGAGAAAGCGTGTTGTCAGACTGACAGGCACAGAATATATTGTGAAGGTAGAGTAACACTATACATGCAGTAGCATTAGAAGATTCAACCAAAACTAACTCACAAATTTAGATTCAACATATTCATGGAACTCACATTGCCTTCTCGCATTTTGAAATGATAGTGGCATAACGCAGACTGTAGTCCTCTCAGGTGACTTGCATTTCCCTTTTGGGTAATGTTAATCACCTTTTTGACTGCTTCTCTGAGAATGTGCTGCACTGTCTGTTATGACAGGCTCATGTTTGCATTTTCTTTCCTTGTGGTCCTTGGACACAGTCCTAAGGAGATGGCCCTCCTTTATCCATGTCAGATTTATACGTCTCTGTATCAGATGTAGGTGTCTCAACACTGTCTGGTTCTGACAAGTCAGCATTGCTAGTATCTGTTATAGCATTAGTGGTTTTTGCTGTAGGTTGCAAAATTAATGGCCAACAACAGGTGAGGCTTCAACTGTTGCTGCTGTACTGTATTAGGTAGTCATGCATATAGATTGCAATTTGTCAGTGTGGCAGTGCCAAACAATATTAGGCGCCACTTGCACTTTGAAGGCTGAAGGACCTGTTTGTGCAATCGCAACTGCAGGCTGCCATTTCTTAAATCCTCAGCAATCGTGAGCCAAAGCATTTTGGTCTACACGTAGCTGCAGAGGCACACCCGTTCCTCTTGTCATGGGCTGATTTATTCGGCAATTTCTGACACATTGCTTCAAATCCACTTTTAATAAGCCCGACCGTGACCTGAAATTCTGGCCCATAAACAGCACTGCCGGTATCTTACTCATTGCAGCATGCACTGTATTCTGGTATGCTAGCAAAAAGCAGACTGTATTCTGCTGTACTGCCACAACAAGTATTTGACTCTGAAAAATTTGCATTTGGTACATTTTTGCTCACAACCCTCTTCAAGACATTCTAATACTCTCTTCAGATTTCTCAGATGTTCTTTACCCTTTTCTCAGTTGCAATAATGTCATCCAAATAACACTTGGAATGCCCTGTAACTTCTGATCCACTGTTTTCTGCCACAGAGCAGGAAGGGAGGCAACACCAGACACTATTAACGCTATTCCCTTTTGTGTATTTCCAACCCGTTTGAATCTCCTTAAACTTCAATCGGCAAGTAAGCTTCCACCAATACAGTTTTGCTAAATCTCTCCTCTCCTTCCCCTCCCCACCAACCACGCCACCATGGCAAAAATAGCTTCATTTTGAGGTAGGGGATATTTACCAGCTTTTAATATAGGGTCTATAGTAAAGTGGCACTACAGGCACGCCCCACTCACTCCAGGCTACTTTTGAGAGAATGTCTTCTCTTTCTAGGCAGTCCAGTTCTGCATTTACCTTGGCCCTAAGGAGCTTAGGTGAGTTTTGTGTAACTTGGCCTGGGCATTTTCATCTACTATTATCCTAGCTTTAATGTGCTTTAAAGTTCTTGTGACTTTGAACACTTCAGAGGCCTAATTTAGTGTCCCTTCTGCTTGTTGTTTAGCTGTTTCTGTGGTGAACTTTGAAAGTGCCTGCAGCATCTTTACGCACTTCCAGTCCAGGGAATCTTTTTTTAACCATTCTTGACCCCACCAAGTGGGTCATCCATTTTCAATGATATGCATGTCTAAGAGGTGCTACTTATATTCTTTGGGCACTTACATCACACCTTCTAGCACAGTCTTTTTAAACAAAAACACTGGGACCTCCATCAATTTCTTATTTTTAAACATTTTAAGGATTTTCCCAGCAACCCACAGTCTCAGCTAGATGACCAATATTCACCTTTATTCACGTGATATAGTTACTCCATTCTCACTATCTATCCCTATCTATTACATATTACCTTTTTATTTCCTTTCCTATACCTTACTGCACTCTCTTCTTTATTCTTAGCACAGCACAGTGCCTGCATATGTCCCTGTTCACTAAAGCTTTGCCAGTAGCATTCTGTAAACCAGAAATTACTTGAAGTGTGAGACCCTTCTCCACACCAATAGCACACAACAGGCTGCTGCCTGTCCTGGCTCTTCCATTGCATATTTAATGCTCATTTAATCCCAT